TAAAAACCCTCAAGCCTATAAACCCAAAACCTAGAGCCTTAGAATCCTAGAGCCTAAAACCCCAAAACCCTAAACCCTGCAGGCAGAGCCTCGAAACCCCAAACCCAACGGTCCCAGAACCCTATTACCAAACCCCATACACCCTACAAACCCTATAAGCCCTAAACTCCGTAAACCGGCCTATAACCTCAATAAAAACCCCGATAAGCCCTATAATCAAGCCCCAAACCTATAAACCCCAAACCCGAAACCCCCTAAACCCCTAAACCCTAAATCCCTAAACCCCAAACCCGAAATCCCTAAATCCCTAAACCCTAAACCCCAAAAGGTCCTTCACGCTGAACTCCCAGACTCCGGGTGCAGTTCCACCCGGCGCCTTGCGCTTGCCGGGCGGCGCGGCTTCGGCTGGCGGCACCTGAGGAGGTGAAGGTGGTGGGTTTGGAGGATTTAGGGTTTAGGGTTTAGGGTTTAGGGTTTAGGGTTTAGGGTTTAGGGCCCTAAGCCCTTTAAGGCTTATAGGATTAGGGCTTAGCGACTTCATGGTTTCTAGGGCCCAGGGTTTTTGTTGAGGCATTTCAGGCTTTTTGGGGCTGTTGATGCAATTTTGGGGCTGCTGGGCTGTTTTGGTGTAGCTTTACTTAGGTGAGGGGTGCCTCATACTCGGTGTACTTGGGTGCTTGGGTTTGAGACGGTAGCCCTTTCAGTTGGGCTTAGGGTGATTGGATTTCGGGTTTAGAGCTTGGGGTTTAGGGTTTAGAGTCTTGATGGATCGAGTTCGATGGAGTCTCGAAGGGATGTCGGGTGTCGGGTTCGTGTGTGGGGCCAAGTTTCCGTTTGGAGCTCATTGTTGTTGCAATAAGCCCTAAATCGTTCAGCCCTAAAAGCCGAACGGCTCGTCGTGGCATCGCCGCATCGCCGCGCTCCTCGGTACCCTTCCCACGGCCTTTGCTGCCCTCGGGCTTTCGGCCTTCCGGCGGGGCATCCTCGGCTCCGAGACAACCCGGCATGTAGGGTGTAGGGGCTTAAGAGGTTTAGGGTTGGGGGGTTTAGGGGTCAGAAATTCGAAGTTGAGGATTTCGCGATCGCTGAGACCTTGTTCGGGAGTGCGGCGGCCCGTACCATAGCAGCTTTCAACAGGATACAATGCATCGCGACCTCCGTGGACACGGTGATCTGGTGTTAGATATTGAAGGCTAATGTTGTTTTTCGGAACCCTAAACCCTGAACAGGCCCTAAACCCTAAGCCCCTATACCGACACCCTACACCCTACCCTAAGCCTTCTAAGCCCTGAAGAACCCTAAACCCTAAACCCCAAACCCAGCCCTAAACCCTAAGCCAAGCCAATCGGCCCGTCGCGGTGGCGCATCGCCGCGCTCCTCGGGGCCCTTCCCACGGCCTTTGCTGCCCTCGGGCTTTCGGCCTTCCGGCGGGGCATCCTCGGCTTCGAGACAACCGAGGATTTCGGGTGTATATAGGGTTTTTGGGTTCAGGATTTAGAGCTGAAAGGCAGGGTTTTTGGGTGCGTTTAGGGTTCGGGGTTTAGGGTCTAGGAATTCGAGGATGAGGAAGTCGAGGTCATTGAGGCTTCGCATGGGTAAAATGCAGCCCGACCTCCACTGATACGGGGATCTGGTGCCAACTATTGGGTTTCGGGTTTTGGGATTCGGGTTTAGGGTTTAGGGCTAGTGATATCAGTAAGACTCACTGCGCGTGTCTTCGGAACCCCAGAATCCACCACACTCTGAACCCTAAACCCTCAATCCCAAACTCAAACCATCAAGCCGGAACTCTAAACCCGAACCCCTAAACCCTAAACCCTAAACTTAAACGCTAAACGGCCGTGCAACATAGACCCGATAGTGATACCCGAAAGCCCTATGTACCCTAAACCCGAAGCGAAGCCAATCCGCCCGTCGTGTCGTCGCCGCATCGCCGCGCTCCTCGGGACCCTTCCCACGGCCTTTGCTGCCCTCGGGCTTTCGGCCTTCCGGCGGGGCATCCTCGGCTTCAAAACAAAGGAGGATTTAGGAGGGATTCAAGATTTCGGGCTTAAGGGTTTATAATTAAACACTAATCACCCTATGAGCCCTCTCTAAACCCTCAACCCTAAACCAAACAAAGCATCCTAAACCCTAAAGCCTAATCCCAAAATCCGGAAAGCAAAGCAAGGACCCCAGAAATTCAGGGTTCAGGGTTTAGGGTTTAGGGTCTAGGGTTTAGACTTTAAGGTATATAGGCTAAAGCCAGGATCCTCGCTCTTCGCGCCCTGCGCCGGTGCTTCCGGTGCACGGCGGCTGGGCTTCGCCAGGGTCGAAGGCGCCTCCGGGGCCTCGGGCTTCTGGGGTTTAGGATTTTAGGGTTTAGGGTTTAGGGTTTAGGGTTTTAGGGTTTAGGGTTTAGGGTTTAGGGCATTTCGGGTTTAGGTTTTAGGGTTCGAGGGCTTGAGTTTAGGGTTTAGGGGTAAGTTTAGGGTTGA